GCATGGAGTGGAAACTACCACTGTGCTCACAACGCTGGGTGCCCCTAAACCCTAAACCCTAAAAGCTCGAGGTTTACAAGGGGCACCCGGAAAGGTAGTATAGAAGCTTAAACACGCCTACTGTAATATTCTGCGCCCAGACAACCGTATCCTCGTCATTTCAAGCCGCTGTATCAAAAGCCCTAAAACCCTAAACCCTATACCCTAGACCCTAAAACCTAAATCCAAAACCCCTAATTATTTAGGCTCCTGTAGTATAGAGTTACATGTTTGACGAAGGCTTCAGCCGGCCTTTGGAGAGCTGCAACGGCCGAGTTCCAGCTCCTGAGCTTTGGGGCATTTCACGGACCCTTTCTGGGGCTCTCCTTAGCGAGCGTAGTTTGCGTAACAACACGATATTTTTTTTTTAAAGAACTTCTAACACCCTAAACCGGACACCCTAAACCCGAACACCAGGAACCGAAGGCTTTTGCTTGAAATTTTACTGCATCTTTTTCGCATGAGCCCATATCCCCCCGAACCCCCGAAAGCTGCCAGACCTCCAGGCATCAACTTTCCCGGTTTAGGGTTTAGGGCATTTTTTCCACTATCCTAGGGGAACTAACGGCTATCTTTTGGGGGTTGTATGGATATGTAGTTCTCTAAAGTAGGGTCCCTTTTAAGGTCTCCCAGATAGCACGGCACCCTTATAAAAGAGACCCTAATTTAGAGAACTGCTCATATAGGGTTATAATACCCCAATAAAGGTCGAAGGCTGCCTACTCTACTACTAGATCAGAGTCCCTGGGGGCTCTGGATGACCCCACGCCCAACTTCCAAACAAGTCCTCATTGAGCCCTTCAGTTAAAACAAAACGCATGGCTTCATGGCACCCTGCTGGGTTCTGCTTAGCTTGTACAGTTTGTGGGAATCTGCGAACAAGACACACTGTAGTAGAGTTGCTAAAGGCTAGCGCGCAGCCCTCGTTGCTCACATGACGAAAGCACAAACAAGCCAACTCACAGAAACAGGCAGCGCCGCCGGCACAAAGAGTGAGATGAGCTAGCTACTGGCTTTCGAAAACCCCCGTCACCCAAAACCTTAGTTGTCCCTATAGGTCAAAGGTTACCTACTCTACTGCTACGAAATTGAAACCCTTCGTAGCCAAGTTTCACGATGTCAGGCTCGAGTTCTGCAGCAACCATCTCCTCCATTGATTGTAGGACCTGTGTCCATTGTCCTGCTTTGTAGTGCACCTGGGGATGACCCACGCAACGAGAATCTCAGAACGAAGCGGCATCTCCCTGCTTTGGGACCTGCAACTACATAGGTAGTTCTCTAAATTAGGGTCCCTTATAGGATCCTTGGCCTTCTTGAAGGCCTTGTTCACTAAATCTCCGTTTGGTATAAATCTCCGTGTGGTATACTATACCTCTAAGACTATTTAGACTAGGGTTTTCGGGTGTGTATGACAGTATATAAACATGATAAGGAACCCCCCCAAATAGTATAGGTAACTATTAAGACATTAGCCCAGAGGCTCGGATGCCTGTGCAAAGGTTTAGGGTTTAAGGCGGTTTCTACATGAATTTACAAGGCTCTAAAGGGTTTCAGTCGTCGGGTTCTTGCAGTTTGGGTTGAAGGTGTGTAGAGACCATAAACCTTAAAGCCTGAACCCTAAACCCGAGCTTCTGCTGAAGTTGCCGACTACCTAGTAGCCCTGCACCCTAGACCGCGCACCCTGGACTAATGTAGGGGCCTGCATAGTTAGAACAGGGTATTGGGGTTTATTTTTTTCATGAATTACATACCCCACACCTTTCTTTCCAAGAGACGCTGATGACGAGCCCACAAAGTGTCGAATCTGCTGCAACTGCAACCCTGCCTGAGGAAACGGTTGAGAGTTGAAAGTTGGATCGGCTTTTACGTAAAGACCCCGAGGGCTTGATAAACGTTCTATAAAGGTTGTATGCGTATAGGGAGTGTCTGTAGGCAAGCCTGAGGACACGGTTTAGGACTTAGGCGGTTTAGGATTGAGGGTTTCGGTACGGTTTAGAAGGGGTTATCGGGTTTTGACAGGGGCGTTTTACAAGGGTTCTCAGGGGTTTTAAGGTGTAGGGACCTAGGTGGGTAGGACTTGTGGATGGGTTTGACAGGACAGGGTATAGGCTTGGGTCCCTGATGCTGTCCCTATTACTCATATTAGCACAATGACTATTGCACTTATAACTGCTACTATTAACATTACCATTACCTTGGCTCTACAATCAGCGTGAAGACTTTTGAAGTCAAGGCTTAATATAGGGGCCTAAATAAATACCAATACTACGTGGGTCCTTTGGTGGGTACAATAATTATAGTATAATGGACCCCAAAACCCTATTCGAAATTTTAAGGCCCTGTATTAGGCATTCAGAGTTTCAGGTTGAGGCGGCTGCTCCCAGGGCTCAGGGTTTAGGGTGTTTTCGGGTGTCACAGAAACTTGAAAACTGGGGATTTTAGCCTCCATAACACCGGAGCAGTCTCTCACCTATGGTCGGATTTAGGGTTTCGGGTTTCGGGTTTCGGGCTCAACGTGATGGAAGGTACATGATGATGAAAAGGATTGGGATATCTTATTACACTAGTATAGTATAATCTGCCCCAAAACCCTACTCTAATTATTAAGGCTCCTATAGTAGCTGCGATGGTTCATATCTTGCGCGCTGTCATCCACAGCCTAGTATCTGAGGCGTGTTTGACTTAGGAACCACAGGTGAGACTAGAGGCAGGGTTCAGGGTTTCCGGGTTAAACTGTTGGTCGTAAGTCTCGAGAGCGTCGGGCTTACGCATTTAGTTACTTGTTTTGGGTGATGACGAAAACCCACTCAAACTTTTCGACGAAAAGCCGTCCTAACTGAAGTCGTGTTCAACCCTGAACCCTAAACCGTTCACTTCAACCTGTCTGCCATAGATACCTCGAGCATAAACACTCCATCGCAAGACCCAAGCTAGACCCCAAACTCCAAATCGCCGAAACGTATGTCATAGGGCCGTTAATAACTGGAATAGGGCTCTGCTGTGTACTCTACCGTAAACATACTAAGGAGCCACAAAATACTGCTGGTAATTAGCACCTATACTATTAATGGACAAAATTCTGCATGACCCAAATATAGTATAGTACCATAAATCCCATGGTTTAGGTATATAAGGTCATGCAGGATTTTGTCCATCAACCGTATTACTCTATGAACCCCAGCTCTCCATCCCCAAAGCCACTCCCCCACCCTCCGCAGCATGCTCTCAAAAAACTAGAGAACGCAGAGGCTCCATACAGACTGCCATCCTTTAGGGTTTTGGGTTTAGGGTTCAGGGTTTTAAGGTTTAGGGTTTAGGGTTCAGGGGTTTAGGGTTTAGGGTTTGGGGGTTTAGGGGAATTAGGCCCCGAAAGACCATACCTAGTACGGCTTTGGGGGCCTAATTCCACAATGGGAGTGCATTTGGAGCCTCTGAGAAATCTAAGGACCAAGCGCAGCTCCAGCATGAGGCCCACAGCTGCGCCCCAACAAGCCTTACTTCGGGATCTGATGGAGTTTTTGTCTTGAGGGCTTACCTTTAGGGCTAGTGTTGAGGGTTTACTGGGTCCTTGTTGGATACAAGTTTACCGTTTTGTTACAATCAAGGCCCAATAAGGATTAAAATGGTCACTTTATTTATATATCGCCCACAGGGAACCAGTCAGAAGTTATAATCCGTAAATGCAGGGAGCTTTCTTGGTTTCGTACCCATTGCAGGTTGATGAGAGCATAGGGGCATAGGAGGTTTTGGGGCGTTGTAGGATTTGCTTCTTGGTTTTGGTTTAGGGTTTGGCGCTTAGGTAAGGGCGTAGGGAATTGTGTGGTGCTCAGAAAGGGCGTTTTGCAGAGGTCTGTAGAGGTTTTCTGTTTCCGTCACTATCTGATTTCAGGCACATGGCCTGGTTCCAAACACCCAAACCCTAAAACCCTAAACCCCAAACCCCTAAAACCCTAAACCCTAAACCAAGGGACAGTCGGCTCCGTGGGTAAGGGTGTGGAAATCGCAACCAAGATTCAGGAGAGAAAGCACCCCCTAAAAATTGACAAGATGCCGTAGAGTAGGGTTTAGGTATTAGGGTTTAGGGCCCCAGATCATCTGGGTTGTAGTTATTATAGTTTTGGGGCCCTGAAAAGTATTTATGAATAGGAACCCGCATAGAAACCGTAAGGGGTTAAGTTTAAAGTTTCCCAAATTGCCACGGAGTCACCAAGGGAGGTAACATGATCTAGGGCCTAGGGTGAGGCATGTGCCTTATCACCAATAGAGCAAGGTCTTCGGGTATACTATAGTGCGGTTGATGATATAAACCCTGCATTACCCATAATAAGGAATACGCCGTAACTCCCATAGGTTAGGGTCCTTAAAGTAATGCGCGATTTAAACCATCAATTGTATACCCATAACAGGGACGGTCAGGTGATAATCCGACTCATGCACCACAAGACCATATCGCATAACACTGCTGCTAGGATGCCCAGTAACCTTGGATTAAAAAGGGCTCCCTTTTGGGGTAGTGAATACCTTTACCCTAGACCCTAAACCGTAAACCCTGAACCTAAATCCTAAACCCTAAACCCTTAACCCTAAACCCTAAACCCTAAACCCTGAACCCTAAACCCTAAACCTTAAACCCTAAACCCGTATAAGGAACCTAAGACTTCAAAAAGGGAAAAAGGGCCCGCTGGGAGACCCAGGCTGTCTTGAGGGGTTGAGAAGTCACTAGGTTCTTCTGGGACCGCGGAAGCCGAACCCGAACAACCATCATGAAGTGTCAGGGTTTAGGGTTTAGGGTAAATTACCCCACATATCTTAGTTTTGGGGGTTTAGGGTTTAGGGTAAATTACCCCACATATCTTAGTTTTGGGGGTTTAGGGTTTGGGGTAAATTACCACACATATCTTAGTTTTGGGGGTTTAG